GTCTATTGCGGAGAACCGAACTCTGGATTTTAGCATTGCAAGCCAGCAAACTTACCGCTGTACCACCGGGGGACAAACTAATATAAGAAAATATGCCTATTTCAGTTAAGTTTAAGACTAGAATATTTCTTTAACGAAAGCTGAACTCGTTTCATTTGAGCATTCTTTCAGTGTTTACCAATATTCTTGTCTTCGACGTAGTCGAGACCATGTTGCATTAACAATAACAACTCCTATGACACAAAAATTTAGCAAAATTATAATTATACTTTTCACATTTTTTCTTGGTATGAAATAATACAGCTTTATAATGCATTATAAAATGCCTCCGTAGCACAGCGGTATGTCTGTTAACTTATAATGCTAGAATTCGGGTTTCGATACCCGTGGTGGGTAGAGCACAGATAGCCCATTGTGTAGCTTTGTGCATAAATTCAAAACAAGCAAACAAGCATTATAAAACAAATATCTTTAATAGCAGCACATGCAAGTAAGTAATTTCTATACGTTTCGGAGACTAATGCCCTTCTTTGAAGGAGTGTAACTTAAACACTACAGGCCTGAGAAGCTTAAATAATGCAACATTCTAGTTACAAACTCTGAGTAGAAAGCTCAGAAGTAATGAAGATGATAATGGAACTTTGAGAAGTTAAACTAGCTCAGTTAATCAAATAACAAAGACACACCCTAAATTAGAACCAATCGTAAGTCCTGTTACATTTTTACCTTTGAGCTCTAGTAGATAAACAAAGAACTATTGCGCTAGCCGTCTTATCTTTTAATTGATAAGCTAGAGGGAAGGCAGCTAGTTAACAGTAACTGTTGTTTGTTTTACCGCAAAGAGATATTTGGCTCCCTGCTGTGTCCAGCGTTGTAAGCTCGCAAATTCACTGCTGACTCACTGGCGGACCAAAAGCAACCATCGCCAGCACTTAAATTACTCTTATCTCATCGAATAATGTGATTTGACTGTCACTCCTAAAAACAAGCGCGTTTTTGCGGAAACGTACGCAATATGGAACACTCTGTTTCTCAGTCCAGGCACACTAACTATTAAGACACGCACAACCCAGCTTAAACGGAAGACATACTGCTACTTCTATA